AGATTTCACACATCTTCCTGGGGAGGTCAGTTCTGCATTGGATATCATTTAGGCACAGCTGATTCACTTGGTTTAGTTGGCAACCCTTGAGAACTCCGTAGTGATTCAACCGTTCCCAAAAGAATCCGATTACGTAGTTGAACCGATTTCCGGATACAACTTTTGTATGTGAAAAAGCATTTCAGAATGCAATTGCCGAGGACAAGGCAAACAGGCATTTGCATTCCTATGTAAATGTGATCAAAGGACATTTTGAAACCCCTTTTTCTTTTCTCAGACGTGTCCCTGACATCTTATTCAAATTACCCTTTAAATGTTATAAATGGGTAGTCGGCTCCAGCGATAGCTCCTGCTATAAAAACGGTCACGGGAATTTTATGAGGGGTCTCGATGCCTAGAGCAAAAACATGGAATGCGTTTCTGTAAAAATTCAACCCGAACTATAGGGCTAGGGCTTTGCCACCCATTCGATGAAGACTAAAGGACAGCCTTTCAGAGTAAATGAACCCCGTTTTGAGTTAGGCCTACAGCTTACGATGGCCAGTTGACGAACAAGTCAGTACTTTTATTCTCCTGAACGAGTACGATAGTTGAACGACCCCGAAATGTTGGAAGGATTGACTGTTCTGGGTGAATGCCCACCACATGATACTGCATAATTTTGAGGTATACCACGCCTAGTAAAACTAATGAAAGCTGATTTCAGAAAAAGATTTGCTTAGAAATTGAAAACCTTCCTCTTATATTCCCGCACGAAAGATTACTCATGATTAATCTTTTTTTCTGCTTACAAGGTGAGCCATTGACGCAACTGTACGTATAGAGGAAGTGAGTGTATAAATGAATCACGAGAGCTTTGGTGCAAGTGCAATGTTGCAAATGACTCATAAAAATTAGTCTCTTGTGTCACTGCACTTGCACCACAATCAACTAATCAATAAGTATACGTAAACAATAACGTAAAAAAGATAAGGTTTTCGAGCGTAGGTCATACCCATCTGAGGATGCGCCTTGCGTCCGACTTCCGTTCGGAGTCGTAGTAACGTATTGAATGCGCATATGGCCTATTACAATGGCTTGCGATGGTTAGCCGCTGTACAGGTCAGTGTCCGCGAATCGAACCCATGTCCATGCTTGTGTGATAGTGCGCCATTTGCCCCTACACCACTTCCGTCCACAAATTATGAATATCCTTTCGAAATGCTACATATGTAAGCAAAACATTCGATGATACCTTTACCCTGAACTTTCCCAACTTCTGTTTCCAAGGATCCAGATTTCCAACTCATCGTACATTGATAAGGTAAGTTGTTCCGATCGTTGCCTCTTCTACCCAAGTCCCATTGATCAGGACAGGCTACCCAATGGTCTAACAGCTCGCTGAAGTGGCTAGATCGCGATTAGGTCAGGTATTCTTATTTTAGTTAACAGGAACAGGAGATGCTATGCATTCATTCCAAGGCCAATGTCCCATCATGAGCAGCAAATCTCCCTCTGCCCCTCTATGGAGTAAGCTGTTTGAGAAGCGTGAGTAGTGTGAGGAGTCGGTAGACGCACTTTCGAAGCTTCGCAAAGAAAAATTGGTCAGAGGTGCGTAAGTTACCCAAGCGAAACCGAACCTTAAGTCATCCCTTTTTCGGCTAACGACTACTTGAGCTCTCTGTAGACACCCACCAAAGGAACAATTGCTAGTTTTGAAAAATGCTAAAATGCTTACAGCCCGAACGGCCTTGAGTGAATCAATGGTGCTATCCTACTCAGCCTGGTACTGTCTTTGAAAGAAAACAACTCGGACACAAATGCTAACGATTCAATGGGCTGTGAATTTGAAAAAAAACCTTTTAAGTAGGACGAAACCCAATTTCTGCTGACAAGAGGCAATGCATTCAATGAATCGGAACTAACGAGTTGTACTTTGGAGCCTCGGCTCATTCTTAAAAAAACAAAATGCTAGATAAGTCTTCCACTCTTATCTTTCTTACGATGTAGGACTTTGAACGGAAAAGTCTGAATGAACTTCAAACATTTGCGAGGTCCCTTGAGAATTGAAGTAATCCAGTAATTCAGTCTATAAGCAATATTTTTCAAGAACTAACGGCTACTGGCCAGTCAATAAATAAGTAAGCGTAACAGACATGAGACTATAAAACCCCTAGGAGAATCAGGGGACAAAATGTGGACTATAAACAATTCCCTTAGGGCTCCCCATGTAATGGAATTCGTTCAGAGTTTTTAAGATAGCCTAAGCAAAGGCAGGCTCAGAGCAACAATTCAAAGGACCTAAGGGAGTAGATTCACGGACCTTTGGAGGTGGTTACTCTCAGGGGTTGATCTCAAGGATTGTCCCGGTATTTGCGTTCATTACGCATTGTGCTACCCAACCCCAATCTACCAATAAAAATAAAATAAATAGTAAACAAACAAAGCAACAACAAGTATAATAAATAAAACGAACGAAGGGATCCCGGCTATGGCTTCAACGTTGTTCTCATTAGCTGCAAGAAACTGAAGACATTTGTATGAACGGGTTGAAACGGTAAAAAGACGAATTTTAAAAATATTAGGAAATAACAGAATTAGAAAAACCGAGTTATTTGCAACAAAAGGTGACTAATATTTTCAAATATTACTGACTGAGTTCATGTTTTCCAAAAAAACTCGAGTGCTTCTCAACTGATGACAGCTGTTACGAGTTTTTTAACGATATGGCACTTTTGTTGTTGGTTGATTGGAACGACTGGGAATGGTGAAGAGAGGGACCACAAAATCGAAAAAAAACTCGAGGGCCGAAAAAAAAAACAAAAAAACTGAATTTCGAACCTGATTCATGGGTGGCCGATCGGCGGGGTCGATCGCATTCATTTTTTGGAGTCGTTCTAAAAACATGAAAAGGACAGGCTTACAGCTAATATCCAGAACTGATGGCCCCGACTCGAAGAGCAGCTTGGGGCTCACGGAAAAACAAAAACGAACGAACCAAGTTCATCGTGATTGCCACGCATTGTTGAGGAGGTTCACAAAGGCTATGAAATAGCTTTTCTAGCAATGAAATGAGCTCGAATAACTGGGAGCATGAGCTCAGGACAACTTCAAACTGCGGTTCAGCTTCAGCTGAGAGCTGCGGCTGTATCGATCGCTAGCGTATGTTTTGGCACGAATCCAAGTGCACACGTCTGTGATGATAGCAAAGTGAACACTGCCCGCTGCCGTTGGGGTTGCTCCTTTGATGGGGTCATCGACGTAGGCTGAATACCGCCTACCGCCCGGTCCTAATACAATTCACTGAACTGTTTTCTGATACGGGAAACCTGTCATTGGGACCCCGATTTATTGTTATGATATGATCCTAAAATTTTCCTCTGAATGCCTTCGTGACGTACTAACTGCCTGGGAAAACTGGGACTGTCTCAAAAAGTATTACTGGCTTACTATTATTGCTTGACTCAGTCATATAGCTGCAAACAAAGGGGAGCCAGCCAGCATTGAGCCCTCTACCAGTTCCTTCCCATAGTAGCTTCTTGCTAGCGCACCATGAACCCTCAGAGGTTGTTACTTTTTCTTCTACGAGGTCTGAAGTAGATTTCTTTTACTTATGAGTCGCTTTGAGCTGACTATTTTCCGTCGAACTTGATTTTCTTTGAGTTTAAGTTGACCAGTACACTGATTGAAGCCTAGTAACGTTACTACCATTATAATTCCAGTGGTCTACGTCATAGAAAAACGATTTTCGAAGTCGTGGGAGAGCACTCCATGTTGCTGTCAACTCTTCTTTTCTTGGATTTGTTCCCTGTTTCCCCGTATTCTCATGTGTTAGGTAGTCTGTGAGTGAGGAAATGAGTAGAGAAGTTTCACATTTTTACACTACCAGGACGTCTTCGATTTTTTGGCACGGTTAATGAAAGTGCCCGTCAAAGGCACAGATCACGATAAAAATGGCTTCTAGATTTCTCCATTATATGATTTCGAGATCCCCTCGCATACGGTATCTGGCGCTATTAGGTCGAAAAACGTTCTAGTTAGGGCCTTGTAAAAGCTCAAAAATTGCAAGGCTGCACCAATCACAAAGGAACCCATGTAGGGAGTTCAAACAACTTATCATGACCCATAGTTACAGCGAAAGCCAGTTCTGAACAGTTCTGGCTCGGTGTAGTCAGCCCTTAGCGCAATTGCAACAACTGAAATCTCGTCCAAATACCACTTCCATGTCATTAATGTCATGATAATCTCGTCCAACCTCTATTTTTCCTACTTTAAGGGGCCCTTTTCCGGAATCGGCGAACTCTCTCGCTTTCTTCACTACCGATGAACAATTTC